AAAAAAAAAAATCTTGTGATCGAATTGTGATGGAAACTTTAGAAATACTTAACAGTTCTAATATTTAAGGGACTGTTTCACTTTTATAGTATGTCAGTACTTTACTAAATCCCTGAGAGTCAAGGAACTCTGAAGAAGAAGGGAATATGAACCCAGGGAGTGAGTTCAAGCTCCATCAAGAGGATAAAAGAGGCTCAGTGCCCGTAGTTCAGTTGTTAGGGCACTGGCCACATACACCAGGGCTAGCAGGTTCAAACTTGGCCAGCGCCTGCTAAAAACAATGACAACTACAACAACAAGAAAATAGACTACTATTGTGGTGGGCACCTGTAGTCCCAGCTACTTGGGAGGCTGAGGCAAGAGAATAGCTTAAGTCCAAGAGTTTGAAGCTGCTGTGAGCTGTGGTGCCATGGCATTCTACTAAGAGTGCCATACTGAGACTCTGTCTCAAAAAAAAAAAAAAAAAGAAGATAAAAGAATTCCTGGGGCAGGGCCTGTGGCTCAGTGGGTAGGGCGCCGGCCCCATATACCGAGGGTGGTGGGTTCAAGGGTTCAAACTCGGCCCCAGCCAAACTGCAACCAAAAAATATCTGAGTGTTACAACAAGTGCCTGTAGTCCCAGCTACTTGGGAGGATGAGGCAGAGCCTAAGCCCAGGAGTTGGAGGTTGCTATGAGCTGTGTGACACCACGGCACTCTACCAAGGGGGACAAAATGAGACTGTCTCAAAAAAAAAAAAAAAAGAATTCCTAAGGGTTTCATTTCATTGCTACTGTCTATTTTTCTATTTATTTAACCAATTATGGCATGCTTACGATATTTCTTCAGCTAGGGAAAACAATTTTATGTAATAGGATGTGTGTGTACAAATAAAAGAACACTTATACTTGAGATTTTTTTTTTTTTTTTGAGACAGAACCTCACTGTGTTGCCTTTGGTAGAGTGCCATATCATCACAGCAACCTCAAATCTTGTGCTTAAGTGATTCTCTTGCCTCAGCCTCCTGATTACCCGGGATTACAGGACTGTCCTCTAGACTTTGATTGTCTTAGTGACATAGCAATTAACTAATTCAATCATATTGTACTGTTGAGTTAGTCAATTATAAAATATAACAAGTCACATTGATAGAAACTACTATAGGGATTTAGAAGAGAAAGAATGGAAGAGAAACAGAAATATCCCTGGGGGACTCTGAAAAGAATCAGGATGCAAATAGCCAAACCCTGGGCAGGTTTGGTAAGAGAAAGAAGCAGCCGTGATACATGAGCCGAGGTCATAAGATTGGAACATATACAGGGGCAGCGCCTATGGCTCAGTGGGTAGGGCCCCATATACCGAGGGTGGTGAGTTTGAACCCTGACCCTGCCAGCTGAAACAGCAATGACAACTGCAATGACAACAACAAAAAGCTGAGCACTGTGGCAGGCGCCTGTAGTCCCAGCTACTTGGGAGGCTGAGGCAAGAGAATTGTTTAAGCCCAAGAGTTGGAGTTTGCTATTAGCTGTGATGCCACTGCATTCTACTGAGGGCAACAAAGTGAGCCTCTGTCTCAAAAGGAAAAAAAAAAACAAAAAAACAGGTCATTGGAGGTGAACCAATTCTGAAACACAGTGGCTTAGCTGAATGTCTGAAATTATCCTCTCAGGTAATCGTGTGATAACTCAGGTCCTTCTATGTCCTGTTATCATGGCTATTTGGAACAGTAGTGAGTGTGCTTATATAAATATGTTAAATATGTCTTTCTTATAAGGCAGAGTCCTTTTTTTTTT